TGATGAGTTGCGAATGATCGCAATGGAAAATCCCTAGAACAGTATTCTTGACAGTCGCAAGTGGTAACGTATACGCAATTTACTATTCGCAATGCAACGAATAGGTCCCACTATACGTTTCAAGAGAAACGTATAAGTATAAGTTATACTGTGAAGAAAACAGAAAGTTATGTATTGAAAAATGGATGTGGAAGACATCCTAGTACATGCACCAGTTTTACATATATTATAAAATGCTGATATAGCAGAAGAACGGGAGAGAATTTTCCACAACAGAGATGATCCCTTTGATGAGTTATCAAATAAAAAGTTTATTTAAATTTTTCGATTAAGTAAACCTGCAGCAAGATATGTTAATAGATCTCGTTGAACCATATCTAACTCCTCAAACAAGAATTTCTGCAATTGATTCTACAACAAAGGTAATTATTCTAAAATTAAGATTCTAAAATTAAGATAATATTTGTGCATAATGCACATAAATACAAAAATCTACAGGTTATGACAGCATTGCGATTCTTTGCAAGTGGTTCGTATCAAATGGATATCGGTAAAAATATTTATATGGCAGTGAGTCAACCAACAGTATCTCGTTGCATGAATGAAGTAATAAATGTAATGACAAAGCAAGAGATTATGGACCAATGGATAAAATTTCCTTCTACCTTAGCAGAATTGAATGAATTACGAATACAGTAAGAATACATACAAATTTTCTAAATGATATAAAATATATAATTATATAATGTTAATCTTTTTACAATTATATTATTATTTTCTGTTTCAGATTTTATACAAAATATGAAGTACCAGGCACTATTGGATGTATCGATTGCACTCACATCGCAATCTTTCCTCCAACAGAACATAATAATCCTGAGCATATATATACGTCAACAGAAAAGGCTATCACTCGATTAATACACAGTTGGTAATAATTAATTTAACATGAATTATTTACATTTATTACAAATGTATATAATAATTATGTATTGCATTTTATTACAGATCTGTGATTGGTGTTTAAGAATAATGAATGTAAACGCATGTTACCCTGGCAGCAGTCATGATTCGTACATTTGGAATAATTCCAATGTAAAGAATGCAATTATCCATCTATACAGACGATATCCGAACAATAATTTTCATTTACTAGGTAAGATATATGTTGTATCACATACTTTAACACACCGTGTAATAATAAAATATTAGAGAAATTACTTAGTGTGGCGGTCAGCTGTCCGCCTGCCGCCACGTGCGCGCGACCGTACATACGCTACATGAATAGTATGACGGGAGGCGCGCGGCGCGCAGCACGGATAGTAGCGTAATATCGATCGGCGCGCGGCATGAGTATCGACCGGCGGAATAGTTCGGCGCGCACCGCTGCGCGGCGTATCTCTCTCGTAAGTAAAGTTCGACATCGATCCTTATATAAAGGGCAGCTCAGCGGGATCTCTCTAGCGATCTTCGAGAACGCCAGTCAGGGCGTGCTACCTATCGGGGGCCCCTGACATAAGTCTCTTTTGTTACGAAGTGTTGCTCGACAGTGGGCCTTCGTAAAACACCTGCTTGGCAGGGCGTTAATACAGTTGAGAGACAACCAGCATCCTGCCGCGGAAAGGTTTCCGGGGTCATTGCGACCCAGCCCATTGGGCGACTACATATCCGGCTCCTAAGTCCAAGGCGTTGCCTGTGAACCTGACTCCGGCTCTTGAGTCCAAGACGTTGCCTCCTACTACGGCCTCGGCTCCGAGTACTCCGGCTCTTGTGACTCCGACTCCTGCTTTTGTGGACCCGACTCCTGTTCCAATATCCAAGACGAAGGATCGCATCGTGATCACAAAGGTAGAAACTCTACCACCTGGGAAACGTCTCCTACTGAACAAATCCAGGACTAAGTGGAGGTTTACCCCGATTGCTAAGTGGGGTCATACTGACCCAGCCACTACAATCGGTGGAAAACAGATCACCATCCATTCCGAGATCGACTCCAGACCAACCGAGCCCTACACCAGCTCCTGTTCCTGTGGCTACATCACGAGATACGAACTCGTCCTCCAAGGTAGAAACCTATCTACCTTGGAAGCTAATACCCATCACCGATCCGGTTCCCGAAAACGTATCGGCTCCTGAGATCCAGGCGAAGGACGTTATCCCGATCTCCAGGATAGAGACCTTTTTACCGTGGAAGCTCTATCCCATCGATTTACCACCAAGAGCTCCACGTGTCCGACGCCCTCTTCGTCCAATCGATCCAGTGAACTCTGTAGCGACTCAGACCGACCACCTCTTCAAGACGCCTATACGACCACGATTCCTTAAGACCCGACTGAGTCCTATTCCATCAACTCCAATAGGCAGGCCTAGGACTCCTGGACGGAACCTGGTGGTCCCGCGAGAGAATATTATCAAGCAGAAATCAATCATAAAACAGTTATTCAAAGATTCGTAATGCGTATATTACACTACACAAAGATAACCTACACCAACACACACGACCATCTACACATTCACATAGAGGATATAATTATTTTGTACATAGAGCATGAATAAACACAGCGAGACTTTATCCAATTGAACATTTCGTTATTTGTGGGAACGACGCACCTTAACCTAATCCTGACCTACAACCCCACACTTAGCAAACACAATGTTACATATAACGTATATATTGGTTGTAATTTCCTACTTAACAATGTAACTATTATGTAACACGTATGTTATATACAGTTATATTGTTGAGTAGGAAATTACAACATGTACATTACATGTAACATTGTGTCTGCTAGATAGAAATCTAAATGGGTAGTATATAATAAAGAAAAAAATTTTTTGTCATATGCTTAATAAAAACAAAAAAGGTACAAAACAAAAAAATTATTATATTATATAATCAGTAGATTAAAGATTTGAACATTTCTCTTATTAGTTTTATTACACATTCAATATGCCTATTTAACAGGTAAATCATCGTTCGTTTAAAAATTTTTATATACATTAAATTGTTGCATTTCAATTTTTTGTTTGCAGGTGACTCAGGATATCCCTTACGGCCTTGGATAATGACTCCTGTAACGGATGCAGCGCAAAATAGTCCGGAAGAAGCATATAATAAAAAGCAAATGAAATGTCGCGCATTAATAGAACAGTGCAATGGTGTATTAAAAATGCGTTTTAGATGTTTATTGAAACATAAAGTGCTACATTATGCTCCACCAATAGCATCAAAAATTATACATACCTGTGTTATATTCCACAATATATGTATCAGTGAAAATGTACAAATGCCATTGGAGGTTAATGATGATTTTGACGAACTGGACTTTGGAATATATAATAATAAAAATTTTATTGAAAATGAAAGAAATAACGGACCTGAAAGAAACATTCGAAGAATCGATCCAGATTTAACTGCTGGAAGAATAAAACGGCGACAAATTATGAGAAATTATTTTCGCTGAGTCGTTATAAAACTGAAACCATATATTACGTTTAATGTATATTTTATATATTTATATTTTAGTATATTTCTAATGCTTAAATTACTTAGTAATAAAATTTAATATTTATAATTAAGCATTATGGTATAAATAAACTATTGTTTTATCTACAAATATTTATTTGTCTTTGTAATTAGAAATAAAATTTATATTGACATAAAATAAATTTTCAAACTTCATATCATAGCATAGTACAAAAGAAGATAATAAAACAATACATCAAACTTAAATCATAACTATTAAAACAAAATTGCAGATAAGTACAATATTGGTATTTTCTATTCTAGTAATGCACACATGTTTTCCAAACATAAATAATTATCTTATTAATTTTATCGTATGCTTAAACTAATCATCTAGTTGACTAGTTATCAGTCTTATTACATTCACTTTAGTGCTTTTAATGGAACGTTCAACAGAAAGTGTAAGACATGAAAAATAAAAATATATAAAAAATAAAAATATTCATAAATTGGTTTTGGAACATTCTGTATATGTAAATTAGACATTAAAAATTCCATTTTTCTAATGTCTTGCTTATTTTTTCGCTTACTTCTACAAATCTTTTTAAATATTCTAATTTTTTTTCATAATAATTTTTCTTTAATTCATATGTATCTTTATAAATGTCATTCAAATGTGCTGATACTTCAATAACATTCTTTAATTGTTTTTTTCCTGTATTGCTTCTCTTTTCCTTTAATGGCGTTATCTTTTCATTGTCATTTTCTGTACTGCGTATTGAAGAATTAGTGTTGCTTAATATATATCTACTTTTTCTAACTGATTTATCATTTTTGGAGGTATATGGTTGAATATCCATATAATTCTTAAATGTTTTATTCATATTTTCTTTTTCACTCATTAAATCCTGAAAATTATTTTCCTTGTGTGGATTATTCTTTTTTTCTGAAGCAACAATATTACTGTTTGT